GAAAAAAAGAAAAGGCCACGGGCCTGAAAACGGCGGCGGCGGGTGGCTGGGGAAGCAGGACCCACCTTCCCCAGGTGCTGCCCTGAGCATCGCCCCAGCCGCTGGGTCCCATCACCTCTGTGGGCCCCCCGGTGGCAGGGGCCACTGACCAGCAGGGTTTCCATTTTCTACCTTGAACTTGAGCATCCAGGCGAGGAGGAAGCAAAGCTCTGGGGATACAGGGCTGAGTGAGGATGTGGACGGCCTGCATACTCCCGCTGTGATGAGGATGCCCTCTCTGCTATCCTGCTCCCATGAAGACCTGGGGAACACAGCACAAGGCCGAGGTAAGGTTTTGGTGGTGCTGGTTTTGCTTTGGAGGGGTACAGGGAGAAGGGGAGGCATCACTTGGCCGTCCTACGCGGGAACGAGCTGCTTCAGACCTCTCACTGTGACAGCCACATGAAACGGAGTCGCTGGGCCAACACATGGCAGGGCCAGGAGCTGTTGGGCAGAGGTCCCTGGTATGGGCAAGACATGGCCGACTGCCATCTGCACCCAGCAGAGCAGCCTGGCGCGGCACAGCCACCGGTGCTGGCAGGAGAGGGTGCGGTAGTGTGCGACACTGAGCCCTGAGTGATGGAGATGCGCATGGGAGCTCGTGGGGCACTTGTCACAAATTCCGTCCCCTTGCCCGCTACTGCCTGCCCAGACTTGAAGGCAGCCACAGCCAGGCCACCCTGCTGGACACAGCCTCCCTGCCCTGGGCAGCGTCAGGTTTTGCCTCCATATTAATGTCATTTACTGAATTCATTCCACTTCAAAACCGTAAAGAAAAAATCCCCAGCATGTACTGCAAATAGAAAAGGATGAGATTAGCGATATACTTGCCTATGGCACAGTACGACATTGCACCAAGGAGCGAGGAAGGGTCCTGGGTTGGTTGGCAGCCTGAGACCAGTGGACCTCAAAACCCAGAGCTGCACCCCACCATCCCCCTTTGGGAAATGGGGGTCAGCGCGGCTTCCTGCACCCAGAGGGAACAGCAACACCAAGGCCTCCAAAGCTGCAGCTGGTACCTTCTTCGGCTCTTTTCACTGCAGGGGATCGCCCAACACTGTGTAGGACCCAGAGGCATAGGGAGCAGGTCGAGGTGGCAAAGCTCAGCAGGGGACATGTGGCTGCACACCCCGGTGCACATGTGGGTAGGGAGCCTGAGGCATCCTGGACTGCGACAGTGCAGTAGGCTTAATCCTGCTGTTACTAAGCCCTCTGAGGTCATTAGCGACACTACATATCCTATGGATATAAGACTGCCGGGGAGAAGACCAGCTGGAGCACTGGCTGGTGCTGTCACCCACTGAGACGTCACTGGTGCTCGTGGTTTGGCTGCCTTGTGGAAGGGTTACCGGAGGCTAGACACACGTCATTCAGGGCAGCCTGGGCAGAGCTCGGTACAAAGGATGTCCACGTTGCATGAAAGCTTCTCTCTCAAGAGCTTGTCGGTGCTTTTCATGATACTCTGCAACCCCAGAAACTGGGGCTGACCCCGAGGATCAAACCCTGGCGGGACGCCAGGGTGGGTACCGCAGCCGTCAGCATCCCCGCATCTCTGCCGAGGCCGGCGGATGGGGCTGGCGCTGGTGACGGAGGCAGCCTGGCAGTACATTGTTCCCAATTCTCATGCTGAAGTCCTGAGATCCCGTAGGCGAGAAGGGCAGAAGCTGTTTGTGGGGAGAGGATCGGCTTTTCATTCAGCTGGATGCACATCGTGGTGAAGTGTGCTGGGGCCACGATCAGCTCAGTGAAGGCACCTTTCTTCATTTTGCAACTTGCGAGGTGTGGCAGAACCCTGCGAGAGACCTTCTCTCTGAATTTGGCTTTGGTTTGGAATTACCCGTAGATTCATCTTTGTTTTCTCCTGGTGAGATTTGGTGTTGGGACTGCTGGCATTCAGTCCCGGGGGTCCTTCACGGCTCTTGCCTCCCCTGCTCGCTATTTAAATCGTGCTGTGCCTGGGCCCCATTATTCTGGTTGGAGATTTGGAAAAAAAAGCCCAGCCTGGTAAGGGTTAGATCTGGCCTAGGCGGTCACTCTGTAATTGCAATAAATTTTGCTAGCATTAAATCCAGACCGAAACCATAAGACTGCATCTGAAAGTCATATGTAAACTTAGATATGCGAATTACCTGCAAATCTTCAAGTTTCGTAATTGGGTATAATGCAGAAGATACTTCACAGTTTTGCTTAATTAGCATAAAATAATAATGTAAATCTTTTTGGTTCTGCCAAAAGGTGGCAGCCTGTATCCTGGCTTCAGGACCTGCTCAGCTGAGGTGGAATGGCTGGAGATGTTGGCTTGGCAAATGTTTCTGTGCGCAGCTCACTGACCCCCGAAGTGGGATCAGTTCAGGATGGATATCGGACAGGAGAAATAAATAAAAGCTCCGCGGGTGTGTTGGTAAAGGAGCCTGAGATTCGCTGGAGGAAAGCCAGTGCGCCGGGAAGTGGTGGGAAGGTCTTGCAGGGCTGGTATCTCTCCGTTCTCATGTCCGGCGGAAGGAGAGCCGCGGTGAGATGGGTGCTGCGCTGAGACACATCGCCCCAAACTGGAGATCTCCGAGGATGTCGCTGCATTGCAAACCCCGCGGTGACGGGATGGGGAGAAGACAACGGCTGGGCAGAGGGTTTCTGCGTGTTTGGGGTACGGAGCCATGCTGGAGCAGGCATTTCTCTGCTCCTTCATGTGCCTGGTGAATGATGCAATTATTACTCGGTATAAAAAGCGTAAGAAGTACCTAAATGCTGCAGATCAGCCCATTTTCTGATGTTTTCCATATGTGGGTCCCTGCAGCCATCCAGGAACTCTTGCCTAGCACTTTGGTGCCCATCTAGACTAGGCATCCTTCGGCCCTGTCCCCAGGCCACCACAGTGGGTCAAGTCCCTGAGGCTGTGCTGGCTGGAGAGCCCTGCCCGAGGTGCCAACCAGCATCCCCTGACACTGCCAGGGGATCTGCCCACAAGCCCCCGTGGGGTGACGACCACAGATTTCCGACTGCTGAGCGTCACAGCCCAATGTGGCCGTGAAGCTGCTGGCAACTGCTGCAACAGCTCCCGGTATGAGACAGTCCCAGGTCCTCAGCAGATTCCCAAAGCACAGGGCGATGGATCTGTCTGGGTGGAATGGCTGCTGTACGAAAACTGGGCTGGGCTTTTGGACCACACTAGGGCAAAAAAAAGCATTAATGCCAAGTTCTTGCCAACAAAATCCCCCGTTTCTCTCCCTGGGGCTTGCAGACACCATTCATCACTTCGTCTGGGCAGCCTCCTGCCCTCCAGCTTCTTACTCCGGTGTCCCTGGGGATGCAGGGAGCAGGGCAGGGCAGACACAAACCATCGCCGCTTCTCCAGGCACGCATCCCTGCACGGTTTCCAGCAGCAGGATCACATTTTGAAGCAGCACCAGAGGACACCATCAAATAATCGCTGGCGTTAGAGCAGGATTGCCCCCCATCAAAGGGCTTTTTCTCGCCAGCTACGTTGCAGAGGAAGGGCTGTGGGGAACAGCGCTGCAAGCAGCAAAATCCTCTTTCATTTTGGCTGTGTTTTGTGGCATGGCAAAGATGAGAGACCTGGGGCCTGCTGCGTGCAAAGACTTAATTGAACCTTCCAGGCCAGTTAGAGACAAAAAGACATCAAAGAGGGAAAATTTCACTGTGAATTTCTCACTGAGCTCCTTTAATTGATGGCAGCTTAGTTGACCAAGTCACTGCCTAGGGGGTGAAGAACAAGGCAAGTTGCTGCCACAGCCCTGCTGCTCCCTGTATGGAGAAAAGGGCTTTGCTGCGGAGCCACCATCACTGCCAGAGGGGAGCGTGGACCTCTGCCACCTCTGAACCAGGGAGTCAGAGCTGAGCAGCTGAGGAAGAGAAGAAAGACCTGGGTTTCCCTCCTGGAGACAAAGGCTGTGGGTTCAGACACAACTACAACAGCAACCCCCGGCCCCTACAAGGGCTTATCTGAGCCCCATGTGACACCATCTGGGCAGATGGGGATGGGCTGGTGCTTTGTCACCAGTCTCGGACACTTACCTGGCTCCACAGGATGTGCTGCAAAGGGGTCTCGATGAGACATCCAGGCAGTGGGGTCTGTGAGGGACTCGGCTCTGGGAGATGCTGTGCCTGGTCCTCCCTCCTGCAGCCCTGCCACCATCCGTGCAGCTGGCTGAGCCCTTGCATTTTCTGTGGGAGAAAGAAACCTCAGCAGGGATCTCCTGGCAGGAGAATGAACAGAAGAGGCTGCAAAGGAGATGTTCCAAGCACCTTGACCTTGCACCAGGGACCTAACACCATGGACCAGAAACTCTACCAAGTTTCCCTGGACAAGCTACATTTGTCCTTCCTCCCTGGAAGAGGTTGGGTTTGGCCAAAGAAAGAAGAGTTACTGTTTGCGATGCTGCACTGAAACCCTCATGGTGCCCACATCCCGCTCAGGAGTGGATTTGGGCAAAGAAAACGCTGGCTGTGGGCAGGGAGCTCCTTGTGATGCCTCTGACTGGCACACATGGGGTTGATCGCATGGATCTAGAGCATCCTGTAGGCCAGGTGGAGGTGAGGAAAGGATGCCGTGCCAGGACACAGGCCAGGGCACTGTGACACTGTTTGCATCACTGCTTGGGGCTGAGAAGTTCCCCCTTGGACACATCCAGCTCCTGGAGATGACTTTGGGGCTGGTGGAGAGGCCATGGTACAGTGACATCTGCTAACACAGGTGAAGCTGGGAGCACTCTCAGACGTGGAGGCATTTCGTTCTCCATCTGTGCTCACAAAAACAACTGGACTCAGTGAGCAGACACAATTCTTAAAAATAAAACACCAAACCCTCAGCGTGGTTTGGCAGCAGCCAAGGGGGAGGGAGCAGGTAGACGATCCTTCTCTGTGTGAGTGCTGCCAAAAGTGGAGCATCTACAGAGCTCTGCAACAGGATGTGGTGTTGGCCACGCTCAGCAAACCCTGATGGAGGCTGTGGACGGCGGTGAGGTGTGTTCGAAACTGAAACAGGCCCTTCATCTCTGTGCTTGCTGCCCCACACCTTCCTTGACAACACAGAGAAGGAAAATGCACAAGCGGTTC